CTTATGATTCTTGATGAATGTATTTTATTTTATTTTATTTTATGTACACCGAAGACAAATTCCTTGTGTGTCCAATCACACTTGGGTAATAAACTATTGTACTCTACTCTACTCTACTTTACTCATTTCTATTTCAATTCTAATAAGGAGTTTAGCTTCTCTCTCTTGAAAATGTAAGCTAGCATAATGCAAGCTAGCTTTAGCTTTCAAACAGTTCATTTAGTGACCAAAGTTACAATGGCATTGAAAAAAGTGACTGATGACCATTTTTCACACTTAGCGACCATTTTTCACACTTAGCGACTGTTGAAGCATCCTCATGGTCACGTGATCAAAATTTGGATGTTTGGCAACAGATTCATATTTATGATGCTTTCAGTGTCCTGGTGTCATATAATCGGCTTGTGTGACCTTTTGACAAAATATAAAAATTTTAATCAAGCCGCCTGGCCCTCCGTCCCCGGTCAATGGTGTCCCTCTTTACCAATCTGAAAATCTGGTCACCTTACTTTTGCAGCATCACCAAAATCACACGATCAAAATTCAGACACTTGATAACCGACTCATATTTATGACATGGGTGCAATATCCCCTTTTCATGGTTATGTGATCCCTTTTTTGCGACCTTCTGACAAGCAAAAGTCAATGAGGAAGACAGATTTACATAAGAACTGTGTGGCTAACTTCAAAACTGCAGTGACTCGCTTAACAATTGTGCAAGAAAGGTCGTAAAATGGAGCAAAACTCCATTAACGAATGTTTCACTTCCCAAGATAAATGCTGGGCTCCATTGTGGTCTTAAGTCGAGGACTACCTGTATTTGCATTCTCCCTCCTATTGGGACCCACAGCACTTCCTCAAGCACCCCCCCCCCGTCTCCCGCCCCGCAAGAGCTGTAGGCGGGGCCACGGCGATTTGGACAGCAGCTCCGCCTCCAACCTCCAATCATATCGCACCAGATAGCCCCCTTCTCATTCGTTGAAGAGCCTCCTGCTCCCTATAGGTGAAAGGTCGGAAGCTGAGCGGAACCGGAAGCGTCACGGACCAATGGCGGGCGGCAGAGTGGCAGCTCGACCAATCAGAACCTGGCCCGACTCCCCGTCTGACCAATGGGAGCCGGGCTGCCGGTGCCGGCCGTCTCCCTCTCTCCCTCCGTCTCTGGCGATTATGGCGGCTCCGCGGCTCCTGCTCCTGCGGGCCTTGATGCTGGGCGGGCTGGGGCTGCTGGTCGGCTGGGGCGGCTCCGGAGTGGAAGGGCAGAAGAAAAAAGAGGTCAGCGGCGTGCCAGCCGCGGGCTCGGGGGTAACCCGAGGTCATCCAGCCGCGCATCCACCCTCGTTGCCTGGGCGAGGGGAAGCCCTCTGAGCATGCGCAGAGAAGGCCAGGCGGCTCGACGCGTGGAGGGGGGAGGGCGGCCGTAGGGGAATGCGAAGAGACCGGCGGGGCCTGGGGGGCCCTTCGCGGCCTCCGAGGCTATCGGTGGCGGCGTTTCGCACCAGACCCGGGCGGCCTGGGCGTCCCTCCGCCTCTCGATGGGAAGAAGCGCTTCAAGCCGAGAAGAGGGCGCCTCTGGGGGCCTTCCTTCCGGTTCTTCGCTGCCGCCTTGTCGGGAGGGAAGCCGAGCCGCCTCTCAGTTGGGGGCCTCTCAGGCAGCCCGATACTCGCCAGGGAAGTTCCCCCCACCCCGAGGGCGGACCCGGGACGCCGCTCGGCGGCGGGATGGGCGCCCCTCCGCCTGGCAGCCCTGGCTGCGCTTCCCTGGGAGCGCCGTCCGTCTCTCCGGCGGAGTTCTGCCCAGAGGGGGAAGGATCATTCAGGCGTTTTCTTTGCCGGGACCCTGCAGTGTAGGGCCTCCCTACCTTGCACCGGACTGGCCGAGGCTTACAATAGAATAGAATAGGAATAAGAATAGAATAAGAAGAATACAATAGGAACAGAACAGAATAAGGAATAGAAGTAGAATAGAACAGAATTCTTTATTGGCCAAGTGTGATTGGACACCCAAGGAATTTGTCTTTGGTGCAGATGCTCTCTGACAAGATACATTCATCAAGAATCATAATCAACAACTTTAGGGTCGCTTTGAATATGCAAATCCGCATATATTAAAATGAAATTCGATTGCCTGCAGCTCTCAAAGTGTCTCCTCCCCCTCCAATGTGGATGACATGAACATGGCACACAGGCTGAAAGGGCAGGGAGGGAAGATGTGGCTGTAGGTCTATGGAGATTCTCTGTCCTCCAGGCCATGGTGGTCCCAAAGGTGCTTTTTTTTCCCAAGAGGCAACTGGACTTTCTGGGTTTTTTTCTTTTGAAGATGGTTTGCTTCTCATCCAAGAAGTTTCTTCAGCTCTTACTGGATTGTGTGGAACAGAAGGATTTATATTCCTTGCAGTCTTCAAAGAAAAAAAAAAGTGCAGAAGTGCCTCCTGAAAAAAGCATCTTTGGGACAACCATGACCTGGACGACTGAGAATCTCTACAGACTTTTAGCTATACAATTGGGATAGACACCTTTGGAATGGTGTGGGAGTAGGAATGGATTTCCAGAGAGAAAAAAACAATTGCAGACTACAGGAACCAGGCGCACCAACTCAGGTGAACCTGAGGAGACAGATAAACCTAGAACTTCCAGGGCCCTCTAAAAGGATGCAAATGACCAACTGTCTGCAAGGAATATAAGTCCTTCCCTTCCCCACTATCCTGTCAGAGCGGAAGGAGCTTCTTGAATGAGAAGCCAAACGTCGTCAAACAAAAAACAAGAAAGTCCAGTTGCCTCCTGAAAAAGCACCTTGGGACAAGACGTCGCTGTGTTTGCACAATATGTATCTGGCATCCTGCACAGACTTAACACATGGCAACTTTGGTGTTGATCTCAGCCAAATCCACTTTGGAAGGTGGTTGCGGGGGGGGGGGGAAGAGCAGGATGGATGGTATGCCAGGATAGGAAAAGTGATGTATAAAAGCAACAGCGTAATTAATGTTTTTTTTAATTTACTGTTATAAGCAATGCAAAGAATATAGCTAATACTTTCTTATTTTTATAAATAACTCAATGCCATGAACGTAGCTCCCTCCTATTTTCTCCACAACCACAATCCTGCGAGGTGGGTTGGGATGACAGAGAGTACCTGTTCCAAGTTTTACCTAGGCAGGACTAGAACTTGCAGGCCTCCCCCCCCCACCCAGTTTCTTTCCTGGGTTTATTTTTAATTTGCAGAACCTTATTTTTCATATAGGCATATTGTGCAAAAATAATGTGAATATTTGTGTGTTGTTGGGTTTCTTTCAATCCTTCAAATCCTGTGAATTTGCTTGCAGATGAACCTGACAGTGAAAGGTGAAAGAGGAAAAAGAGGGTGGAAATTGTGGAATGCCATGTGAAGAGAGATCATATAATCCTATAGTACTACAGATTTACCACATCATGGTAAATTAGTGGGAGGCGACACTTCTCACGATAAGCTGTGATGTGAAATACGCTGTGAATGAATTAACATTTAAGCTGTGACCATTTAGGTGCCTGAAAAACGGCATGCATTTAACATTGCAGAATTTCTTTCTAACCTAGATGGTGCTTTCCGAAAAAGTAAGCCAGTTGATTGAATGGACTAGCAAAAGATCAGTTATTCGACTGAATGGGGACAAATTTCGACGTCTGGTAAAGGCACCACCAAGGAATTATTCTGTGATAATAATGTTCACTGCCCTTCAGCCTCACAGACAATGCGTTGTGTGCAAGTAAGAATTTCAGTTATTTAGAAATTCACCATATTACCAGAAGAGTATACTCATTAATGCATTTTAAGAATTTCCATGCTGGGATTATGTTTGTTAAAAGCTGATAAAACAGCCATTTGTGAAATGGCAATTTATAAATATTTCTCTTAAAATGAGCTCATGTATGGGGATTAATATTATGCTGAACCTGCTATAATTGCAGGTTATGAAGAGCATTTCTTTAAACAAGTTGTATATGTTCCTAAAGTTCCCAAAAGCAAGTGATTTTAGAAACTAACTGATCAGTGGCACCTCAGCTATTTGGGTAGAAAAGAACGTATCACTTACGAACATCCTAATCTTTCGATTAGGATCCAATGATTATTTTGTTAAAAGTAGCAAGTTGGAATGAGCCACTGGTCTGTTGTTATCAGTATCAGAGATGGTCAGCCAAGTTTTCAAATAGCACAACAGAGATTGGAGACAGTTACAGGCAACCCTTGACTTACAACCACACATGGGACCAGAACTTTGATCATAAATCATTGCGGTTGTAAGTCAAGTCACCACATGACTAGTCTCAGGTTTACAATCATTTTTACGATGGTCATTAAGTGACTCACCCTGGTTGTTAAGTAAAGCACATGGTTATAAGTAGTAGCCTATTTTATTCGATGGGCATTTCCCCCCAGAAAACAACAATAAAATGTTGCAAAACGCAATCACATGGCTGAGGGACACTGTCAGTGGTCCTAAATGTGACCTAGTTGCTAAGTCTGAAGTGCAATCACATGGCTGTGAGAATGAAGTGGCTGTCATAACTTTGAGGACAGATAGTAATCTTCAAGTCCAAGTTTGGTCATTAAGTGTAGCATTGTTTGTAATGTTACACTGGTTGTAAGTCGAGGGCCACCTGCACATCTGATCACTGACAAAGAATAGGAGTACAAATTGGGACTCCGAATCAGTATATCTTTGTTTGGAAAGACACAGGGTACTTAGACTTTGATGGTGCAAATCAATCAAATCAATCAAGCAGGCCATTATTCTTCCCTTATCCCACTTTTAAAGGAGAGGATTTTAAATACACCCATTATTGCAGCTTACAGTCTGTAAATTGATGTAGCAGTCCTGGGTGGAATTATGTCATGAGTTGTAGCATGTATAAGGTGGTTTAGCAATCAATTACTATGACTGGATGTGTTGTCTTTACACCAAACAGGGAAGTGAAGGTCCAGATATTCACGAGCCATCACTAACTTTGATAGGAACATATAGAAGGTAGTAACAATTCTTTCCACACCATTCTGAAATTAAATTCTAGCTTCTCAGGCCTGAAGCACATTTGTTCTCCTGTGTGCATGAGTGCATGTATATTCATGGATGTGGCACATCCAACATAATGAGCTGCAAGAGCTTTAGTTTGTTTTAGTGAAATCTAAATGGTGTCTAATTTATGAGTTTCACCAAACAGCAAAGCACCACCTTTATAGAATCAAAAGTCACATATGGGCAGCCACATTTCAAACTGCAATCCAGTTCGGGATAGAGACAGTGGTGGTGGGAACTAAATTTGATTAAATTGTTTTAAATTAAATATAAATGTGAACTAAATAAGTATAGTTAGGTAGATTTCTATACATTTCCTTATGTATATTTAGTGGCAAATTTTGGAAGGGCTCTTGGTGCTAATTTAAAGCTTTGCAGGATCTAAATGAGATGAGCAACACACTTTCTGACAATTGCTAATGTTGGTGCAGGGCTTATGGCCCTGATACCACCAGTGTCCGTGGCTGGGCTTCCTTTCTTCAAATCTGATCTTTCTTCATTAATGCCCCCTTTCATTTCTGACAGACAAGCTGATGAGGAGTACCAGATTCTGGCAAACTCCTGGCGATACTCAAGTGCATTTACCAACAGGATCTTTTTTGCCATGGTGGATTTCGATGAAGGTGCTGATGTATTTCAGATGGTGAGGAGTTTCTTGTGACTTTAAACCTTATAGGAATTGCTTATAGGGGTTTTGTATGACAAAGGATAGTAAAAGGTAACATTGCTTTTATTTTGAAAAAAAAATTAAGATATTTAGAAAACAATCTGAATTATAATTATTCAAAAAATAAGTCCCTAAATATTATTTCTCTTCATTAAAAACACTTTGGATTGTCCTAAGGCTAGTAGAGGTAAAGATTAAGATTGTAAGAATGTGAACTGCTGGTTGCTTGTCTATCTCAGTGTTTCTCCACCTTAGCAACTTTTAAGATGTGTGAACTGCAATTCCCAGACTTCCCGAGGCAGCATCTGAAAAGTTGCCAAGGTGGAGAAGACTGAAGAGAACACTTCTGCAGCACTGACATTGTGCCCAGGTTAAGAATAGCTGTTCTAGAGTAGCTGGAAGCTCCAGTGGTCAAAAGGCTTTTCCCATCCTTGACCAGGTATTCCTTCACTCACAACCACAGTTGGGACCAGAATGTCGGTTGCTAAGCAAGTCAAGCGTTAAGTGAGTCAAGCCCAATTTTAAACCTTTTTTTTTGCCATTGTTGTTAAAAGAATATGGCTTCCCCTGTTGACTTTGCTTGTCGCTGAGCCATGCTGCGAAGGCGTCAAAAATCACATAGTCCCAAGACACTGCAGCTGTCGCAAATACCTGCTTCTTGCTAAGCACTCCAATTTTGACCACGTGACCACGGAGAGGCTG